TTTTTTTTTTCTTTTTTGTATATATAACATAGCCGTCAGACTCACAGATAGGTCAAACTTTCTAACTTCTGGAACTCCAGAGGAATGGAACCATTGAGCATATTACCATGAACATTGCTGAAAGATGAAACCAATAGAGATCAAAATAGGAGAAAGAACTATGTGTCTTAATGGCACAAAAAACCTGGGAAAACTCACAATTGGTTCAGAGCAGCGCACAAGCTAATATTTTTAGGAATTGGACCCACAAGTTTGTTATTGGCGAGATTCCTGGGACATCAACAAATATAAGAAAAGTAAGTATGCCAAATATGGTAAGATCCAAGCCTAAACAAGCATGAGTGGAACTCACAACTCAAAAAGATCTTCAAGTTTCCCAAGCTCAGTGGGAATAGTGCCCTCTAGTTGATTGCCATTCAGCTGACTGAAGATTAATGGCTTAACAATTGCAATGCCAAAAAAAGAAAAATTACAAATTGCAATAAAATATATGAAAATCAGGCTCTTACAGATAGCTGAGCTTTGACATGTTTCCTAATTCAGGAGGAATAGGTCCGCTGAGTTTATTACCATGTAGATAGCTGAAAAAAAAAGCAAACTTTATGATTCAATAAAGATTTAAATCCTGGATACTAAGATTTATGGTTAGGTACTTACAGTTTGCCAGTGTATGATAAATTTCCAAGTATTGCAGGAATTGGACCAACAAGTTCATTTTCACTCAAATCCCTGTAAAAAGTATGATATTGGTGATATTAAACATGAATAGGAAAGTTACATGAGAACATTATCATTAACAAGAAGAAAAATATCAATGGAATTACTACGACTTATTGTGATCTTTAGATGACTGGTTATGAATAAACAAACTTTAAAAAAAAAAATAGAAAAAATATGCAATGCAGCTTTGATTAGGTTTTTACCATTATTATGACAGCGCTTAGCTCAAAAATTCCTGCTATTTAGCATGGAAGTTGAAATTATCAAAAGACAAATGACAATTCTCAAAATAAAATACAATAGTTGCATAATCAGCTATAGTAGGTGTACTTATTTATCTTCTGCAGCATCTGTTCTCACTAAAAACTAAGTGAAGAGTTTAGGATCACTTTCTGTTTTTTTTATATTTTGTTTTTATTTTTAATTTGTTTTGTTTTTGCTCTTTATTTTTAGAAAACACCTTTTGTACAATAATGATTTTTCTATTTTTAAAAATTAAAAATTATAAAACATGTTTGATATTAGCATGCATTTTTTATTTAAAAAAAATCTAATTTTTTAAAGATATGTAAAAGACATTTATATATTAATCACCTATTTATTATACATTTACATATATATGCCTCCTAAATTTCACTTTTTATATTTATAGCACCCTAATCTTTCGGCTCCTGAGACTCTATGCCCTCCAAATACACCATTGAAAAGGACCTCACTGGAAAAGTATTCCTCTCAGTTTCAACCAGTGGTCGGCTAAACAAAATAAAAAAAAAAACAATAAAAACAACAAATAAATATGTTTTTAATTTCAAATTTTTATTTTTAAAAAAATAAAAATAAAAAATAAAAAATTGATCCCAAACAGCCTCTAATTAAATGAGCCAACCATAACTAAGAAACACCCACACGTCCCAAAAACATAATGGCGCTGAACAAAATATATTATTATTTGTAATTTAATAATATTTTAAAATAATGGGGGTATTTACACACATAGGACTCAATTCTTATGTACTTACATCTCTAACCCCTAAACTTTACATTTTACTATCCAAATCTTTCCTAGCACAACGAAAAATACCGCTACTTTTAAGAGTGGCAAGTATATAAATTGTTCTAGTTAAAAAAAAATGTCTGAACAACAGTAACATATATGGAACCTTTCCGAGGCTCTTGTATAGTGAATTTAATACTATTAATAAATTATTGTCTGATGTTCTTAATATAACAGCGTAGTAAAAACTTTCAAGTCATCAAGAAACTTTCTTTAAATCACTGTAAAAATCACCGAAGAAGACCCCAAAGATTAGGCACTTACAGAACTGCTAGCGCCTGCATGAGTCCAATTACCTCTGGTATCTTCCCCGTAAGCCTGTTTCCTTGAAGTGATCTGTAAAACATTGGGCCCCGAAATGCAATTAACTAAAAAAGAAGATACATTACAAGCAACTCTGTACAAATTCCTTCATCATTTTTACATGTAAATATTTTGTTTCATAAATTTTATTACTATTTCTGAAAAGGCTTTATAAAAACTAAAATCAATTAATGCGGCAGTGTTATTCACGTGAAAGGAACAAGTGCTGACTCGACAAGCAGCAGCCTTTGTAGTCTATCTGGAACAATAAATATTTAAGAAAGGAAAATTTACATAACACAAATCTCAAGTATTTATGTATATATGCAACTCTTATACTTTCACAGCACTTTCATGCATTAAACATGAAAAAATGTATTGATAATAATACTATATTTAATGTTATGTGTGTGTAAATATGAAACTAAGTGTGAGATATGTAAATAGATATAATTTGTATGCTATGTATGTAAATGCCCAAAAATAAATAAAAAACCAGCTTTTAGCGCAGCATACAAAGTAGCTACTTGAAGGAAGCCAATATTGTAAGGGATCTCGCCGGTGATTGCATTGTATGAGATATCCCTGCATTTCAAAAGCCGTAATAAGATGAGAACCTTCTCAGCAACATTAAAAAGAAATTTGCGTAGAAAGATTATGAAAAAAAAGGAAAAAAAAACAGCATACAAAATTTCAAAACTGGTACAGTTTCCTATGTTCTCTGGTATTGGCCCCGTAAGGTTATTGCCTCTCACATCACTGAAAAAAAAATTCAAAGATATCAAGTCATGAACACTCAAGATAGACGTAACATAGTATAATCTATAAGAATATCAGTGTTTGATTACGCACAAATACCACAAGCCAGTCAACTGGCACATATCCGGAGACAGAGTTCCTGTAAGCCAGTTACCACGAAGTCCTCTGAAACAAAAAAAAAATGTAAAGATATGAAATTTTTCAGGAAAAAATAAAAATCTACAGCATTTTTTGCAGAAGAGAAGCGATTAAAACCAAAAAGGAAGAAGAAGAAGAAGAAGACGAAGTGCTTACAGGTACTGCAAAACTTCATTCCAGTAAATGAGTCTGGGAATGTCGCCAGTCAGCTGATTCTGAGCAAGATCACTAGCAAGGTAGGACATTTAAATTAAAAAATTTTGTAATAACCTAAAAACACTATATAGAGCAGACTCACAGTGTTTTGAGGTTCGGTATCTGAGAAAGCGTTGAAGGAATTGGTCCTGTTAATTGGTTGTTCTTCAGATTCCTACATGGGAAAAGGGTCCACAAAAACCATATTTTTAGAGAAGAAGGGTCCACAAACTTTTAAAAACTTCATGTCCCTGTAGAGTATCATGTCCCTGGTGGAAACGTGAAAGGGAAAAAATAAACAGTTTATAGAGGACTCGTACAGTTCTTCTAGCTGCTTAAGCTTGGATACTGAGAAAGGAATGTCTCCATCGAGAGAGTTTCCAGATAAGTCTCTGTAAATGCCAAAAGTTCACAGCGTTTAGTTTAGCAAAACAACAAAAGATTAGAAAAAAGATTCAGTAATATTAAACTTGAAAAGTACAAGTATTTGAGAGAAACACAATCCCCAATTTCATCTGGGATCTGCCCCAGGAGTCTGTTCCCCTTCAAATCTCTACAGTTCCAAAACAACCACAGACAGTTAAGCAGAATGCAAATTACTCCTTTCAAGTCAACGGTAAGAAAACATTTAAATTTAAAAAGGGACGGGGAAACAAACAGCGACTGTAAGCTCTTGAGCTCTCCAATAGCAGGAGAGATTTCGCCGCCAAGGTTCAGATTCGAAAGGTTCCTGCATGGGCGCTGGCCATTTCAGAAAAAAACCCATTGCCCCAAAACAGATATCACGCTCGAAGAGTTTAACACATTCGCGGATAGAGAGAAAGAGAGACGAACAGGGAAACCACAACAGGGGTAAGGTTAGCGCAGAGCACGCCTCGCCAGGAGCAATGTTCATCCAAGCCGCCGCCAGCTGTGACGTTGGAATCGCCGGCGGAGATGGCGGAGGGATTCCAGTCGAGAAGCAAGTTAGCTACGTTGTCTAAGGACGCCTTCATCTCCAATAACGCCTTCCCTGTTGCTCATTTCCATAAAAGAGTTATCGTTACGACCTTAAGCAGCAAAAGATCAATCTTTGAATACAAGAACTCAGAGCAAACTGGAAGAAAGAGCGAAAGACCTTCTTCGGATAATGGAGCAACGGCAGGAAGTAAACAGCAGAGTAATGCGAGTATTGCGATTCTACCCATCACCTTCCTCCTCCCCATCTTCCACACAACGAATGACGCTACACACTCATACTCGGAAACAGAGGGTATAAGAGAAAACCCTTGCCGCACATCGCAGCCAGAGAGAGAGAGGGGTTGGAGAAAGTAATGAAGTAAGAGCCAGGAAAGGAAAAGCGGAGGGAAGAGGGAGTCGGCCGTACCAGCAAAGGCGCCACCAAAATAGAGGTGTCGACAGAGACGTGACTGTTCTTTTCGGAACGTCAAGGGAGGTGGCGTGGGCCACCACGGCCCCTAGTCCCACCATAGCCTTGCAGACCTACAATAATCCACCACAGAGATTACCTTTCCTTCATCGCCTTCGGCCATTATTATTTTGCAGACTTCTTTTATTTAATTATTCATTTATCATTTGTAGGATTTGTTTAAGAAAAGTGAAAAGGTTTTGGGCAAATTCAAATTTTGTGAGGACTGTCCATTTTGTGAAGAGTGGGGAGGTGCTGAATTATTAGATTTCGGGCCAGCTCGGATTGAAATGGATGGAATTCAAGCTGGATAGAATTTGCTAGTAGCATGCCTAGTTGCCAGTTTACTACAAATAAACATTGGAAGTTTGAAGATTGGCGGTCGAAATAGAGAATACATAAGAAACAGACAGAAGAAATAGGCTTAATATGAAATGTTAGTAAGATATCTGACGAAAATACGATTGCCACTAGGGGAGTAAACGAGCCGAACACGAGCGAGCCTAGGCTTAGCTTATGTTCGGCTCGTTTATATTTCGAGCTCAAAAATTGTGTTCGTGTTCGGCTTGTTTGCTTAGCGAGCCGAACACGAGGCGTTCACGAACAAAAAATTGTTTTGACAACCCTAATCACATAGTCATAAGATGTTAAGGATTGGGGCAAGATTTAAAAATTATTGTATTAAAACATCATTTGAATCTAATTTAATAATTTTTATTCTATTTGAAGTCATGTATTTTTAAAAATACTACTCATCAATATATTAG